GTGTATATATATAATTACAAGTGAATAAGAGTTAATATAATCAGCTAATCCAAGAACTTGAATAACTGTATAAGAGTATACGAGTTTTGTGTTGGTCAAATGCTTGATGATTGATTTCTTATTAGAGGTATGAAATTAAAGGATTAAAATTAACGAAACCTGCAACGTCTAATCTTCTTCATTCTATTTATTATCAACAAAATTGTTCGAAACTAAATTGTATTGTTTAATTAATAATATATTAAGAGCCTGTCTGTTGCTTTAAGGGAGCTTTAACTGTATATAGATACATAACAGTGAAGTAGCCAATGGCAACAAGATTTACTGAATTTCCAAATACACACGTTATATACACCACACATATAACAGCAGCAAATATCTGCTATATGTGTGTGTCTGTGTATGTGTGTATATACTCCAGAAGGAGATACACTGTACCAAGTTCTACATATAAAGCGCACATTACACATTTACATAAGCGTACAAATACACAGACACAGTCAGTTACAAGCATGTAGAAAGCAGAGCACGTCAGCTCCTGGTGGCTGGGCAGTACACATGCATATATGTATGTATAATATACGCGTATATATGTGCATGCTTACATGTGTGTTATATAGTGCGCGCTCGCTCTAGCACACACGCACCCACAGCGCACGCAAACAGCATGCGTGCACACACACACTAATAAACCAAGTGTAATCCTATTTGCGTCCAAAAATAAAATGGAACGAAAGAAAAATCCAACAAAGAAGCAGCAAAGCTGCTGCTGCTGACGCCGCTGCCGCCACTGCTGCTGCTGCTGCTGCTGCTAGTCATGTTGTTGCTGCTGCTTCTGCTTCCTTTGCGCTAAAGATTTAGCTGCTCGTTAAATCGACGCGTCGACGACGACGACGACGACGACGACAGCGCCGTCAGCGCCAGCTGAGCAACTCTGCAGTTTTATCTAACCAATACCAATGCCAGTTCATCCACCAACACACAGCAACAGCAGCCACAGCCACAGCCACAGCCACAGTCTCAGCGGCAGCCCGCAGCGAGCACAGCTCTCACACTCACACACACACATGCACGCAACTCTGAACAGAGGCAGAGGCAGCCATTGCGTTCTCTCTCACTGCCTTCGTCGCATTGCTCAGATGTCGGAGTCAGCTGCTGCTGCGTTGCTGCCGCTGTCGCTGCCGCTGCCAGTATCGCTGCTCTGACGCTGGCTCTTGGCGCTGCTCTGCGCTTTTATAAATACAATTTTATGATGCGTTCAAATACAATTCAGAAGTCGAACCGAAAAGACGTCTTGAATTTGTTATTTAATTTGATATACACATACATACATTTTTTTTTCTGTTACTGCTTCTTCATACACTTCTTTGAGTAACTCGTCTGCATTCTTCTCAGTGCAGACACACACACACAGAGACAGACAGAGAGCGAGAGCGAGCGAGAGAGAGCAGTACAGACACGCACAGACATTAGATAAAGCTGCCAGCGAGGCTCTGCTGAACGGTTGCGCCGCGTCTGTGGTCAGAACTCGTGTGCGCGTCAACGTGAAAGCATCTGCCGGCGCGCTGCGACAACATAACGGGATATAGCAAAGCAGTAACTAATAAAAAGCAGTGATACAAAACGACAAAAATAAGAAGCAAAACATTTCATTCAATTAAATTAT